GTTGCCTGGTGGACAGTCTGACAGCTTTCAGTTTGTTTTGAATACGGATTGGGCAAACAGTCATGTGGGGTATATGTTATTTGCATGTAGAGATGGGGAACACCGGCTGGTGGATTTGGGCAGTAAGAAGTGGCCAAAGATGTCCTCGTCCTATCTTGGGGAGTTAGGGGCAATGCAATAGGCCTGTCAGCGAACTAAGCCCTATCGTGGGGATTTACCCGTAGTAATCCAGACGGATAGTCATAGTTTAGTAACGAAAGCTCAGTCTGGCACGGTATATGACACGGATGTGCGTGCGTACAACAGATGGGCCTGGATGATTGCCAATGAGCCTGGGTTCCAGATCAAATTTGTGCCGGGAGTAGAAAATGAAGGGGCTGATCTACTGAGTCGTCCTATACGTCATCTTCGAGAAGTGGACTTTTCTGATGATCCAGCCTGCGGTGTCATTTTGATGGGCGTCGCGAACCCATCAGAATTTGCGGATGACATTTTAGAATATGATACGATTACGGATGATGCAATCTTTCGCAGCCTGGGCATTGAGGAGTTCCGTGATGTGAGTGTCCCTAATCGACAGCAACTGAAGACAGCACCATTGCCATTGAAAAGGGAAACGGTGATGGGACACCCGCTACACTCAATGATACATACTGACGCAGGTCATGACTCAGCGTGGGGCAGGACCGAGGGGAATCCACAGCTGATGCGTCAGCTTGCTGACGACCAGGTGGAGCCTACACCAGTAGATTGGAACCAGTTTGGTATTGACCACACAGGGGTGTACTTTATTTCGGAAGGGGACATCCTGCCGGGTACAATGGAAGTCGAAAGTCATCACGATGCATTGGAGTCTTCAGATGAAGCTGACGTGGATGAGCATTTGGATATGTTTGACTCCAGTGAGGAGGAGGACGTGATCCCCGCTGAGATTGATGACCTGGAGACATTAGTCTCACAGGAAGATCATGACAGTATGGTAAATGTGGATGATGACGAGATGTCAGTTGACTCTGCGGATGACCTGATGCTGGACGTACATGATGAGGATGATGTTGAGCAGCTCATTTGGCGTGAACATGCTTTTGGGCATTGGGGCCCCAAGAAAGTACATCAGATGCTAAAGCGTCAGGGTGTGCATGTACCAATAAGCCGAATACGACGAGAGCTACGGCTGTGTGGGATCTGTGCATGCTTCAAGCCCAAGTTCCGAAGGCAGCGGTGGGGACAGCCACCGTACTCTGAAGAACCTGGGCATACTGTATACGCGGACTTCATTGGGCCGGTGTCACCTGCTGGAGCTGGAGGGAACCGGTGCATCCAATGCATTATTGATAGTGCTACCAGACGTGTACATGCCACTGCCTTACATTCAACGCATACCCGGAGTGCTCTGAAGGGCCTACGAGAATGGATAATGAGGTATGGGGATTTTCAGGTGCTGGTGACGGATAACGACACAGCTTATGATTCTGCGGAGATGCGGAGTTGGTGTACCAAAGCCGGTGTGACGCAGATTTTCATACCACCACATCATCATCGAGCTGTTGGCTTAGTGGAGCGTATGAACCGTACGTTGGTGGACCGTCTACGCAAGGTACGGTTTCATTACATGGAGACGACTGGACGTCGGGCCCCCTGGAGCCTTTTCCTTCCTCAGTGTCTGCAGATGATCAATCATACAGTTCATGACGTGACTGGGTACACACCCACAGAGTTGTGGAACGGCACTGAGGCTGATCGTCACCTTGCACATGAGCGGAGTGTGCAAGCACGTCAGAAGGGAGACAAGAGGGCATTGCATAAGCCCATGACATTCACAGTGGGTCAGCAAGTGTTGGTGCATGATGCAATAGCAGCTGCAGATAGGGGAAGGAAGTTTGATCCACGCTGGAAGGGCATCTATGTTCTGACGGAGCGGGTTTCCCCGGCAGTGTGGAGAGCCAGGCCTGTTAAGGAGGTTTTCACACAAGGAAGAAGACCCAGACATGTATTTCATGAGGATCAGATGCAGCCTTATCGGCTATAACACAGTCCGCTGGGTGACCGAGGAACAGACGGCTGTAATAAGAGACCAGAGTGAGGACTGAGACTTTCGGAGTTTGCACAGTGGAGTGGCGAGATTGGGCCCATGCTCGGGTCACCAATAATGAGTCCATTATGGCTCTATTATGCGCCATTCAGTTGCGACAAGCTGGTGCCCCGTGAGGTCCAGAGTGTGGTGGCATGGGATTCCAGTACGGGGGAACCATGACCAGCCTTGGTGGAATCGTATGGACGACACGGCCTCTGGGACGGTATCGACA